GTAAAGAGATAAAAGTCAACTCTGGCCTTACAGACACCCTGTCAGTTCAGTTTACTTTAGAGTTGAATGCAAATACTAAATGTATTGAATTATGATAATTCCTTTGTTTCCCACTGTCTAATTGTCACTTTCAGCGCTTTTTAGCTCTGTTTGGTTAGTGATTTTGCACTCTCAATTTGTTTGACAACCATCGGTATCATATTAATCCGAAAAAACTATTTGCATTCAAGGAGTCACAAATATTAATGTTGTTTGTTGAAATCAGTTTTTGCTAAACAGTTGCCGGCTTCGGATTAATGCAAAGAATTGTTGTAAGGGGATGGATGTTTTTTTTTATCTACGTATGTAGTGTGGGACGAATTAAATAACAATAAACAAAAAAACAAAAAAGAAGGACGATGGTTCTTGAGGTTAATCAGGAACTCTTTGGGTAATTTATACCATTACCACACTGAAGGCTGCGGTCATGCACTACACGGTCATGTGGAAATGTTTTTTAGACCCCAATGAAGTGTTCGAAATTTATTTATAAAACTCATCCACCCCCTCCCCCAAAAATGTACTGCTCATGCAGATTGAACCAGATTAACGAGTAGGGGGTGTCATACGTATTCCATATATATGGCATTAGGTACAAGCGTATAGCGCGTCCCTAACAAGCGAATAGAAGCACCTAACAAGCGAATTGTGTCCCCTAAGGAATCCCAATTTATACCGATGATATTAGCAGTGTGAAATACTTTAAATGTCACAAACAATTCGTTGTTTGGCAGCGGAATCGGCCCTTGTGGTCAAGTAAGTTAAGGCGCTTTACACTTGTAGCTCTAGTCAAAGGGTTAGGGTTTAGAGGAAAGGACGGTTCAGGCTATAAAATGTTACATTCACAATTCTAAGTTAAAATGTTATGAGAACATTTTTACCGAATAAGTGTTAAAAAGCTCGAATAAGTCGATAAAAAATGTAGAAAAATATACAAGTGAAAAAGAGTAATCACTCTGTTCGCTTGTTATAGGTGCTTCTATTCGCTTGTTAGGGGCAGATACAGACTTGTGCCATATATGGAATACGTACGTATACTACAAACCCGCCTCAAGATTCGTATCAAAACAAGAACACGGAAATCCTAATCAGACATCTATCAAATCAAAGCTAGCCCCTCAAGGACACTCTGATAGTAAGGAACTGAAAAATCAAGCATGTCAAATTCTGTGCTTTTGGAAAACTTTTAAAGAAAAGCGTGCCACGATCTGCGACAACTCTTTATTCACGAATAATAAATATATACATTCACGGAGGGGGGAAGGGTACAGAGCGTATCTTATTTCGTTTGCTGGGAGGGGGGGTGGTAGTAATCAACTTCTGTGATTTTTTGGCTCGGCATTTCTCATATTTTTTTAATCAGTTTTGACCCAACAATCATACTAACTTTAGAGATCTCGACCTTTTAGACTACTAAACAAGTAGCGTCGAATCGCGCAATAATTAATTGTTAATCATTTTTCTCAAAAATCAGAGTTGTTATTCTCGTGTAACTAATAGAGATAGTTTTGAGGACTTGGAATCCAGGACCACTCGTGAATCAAAGCGGAACCTATAACTTGTAAAAACTTGATAAATGCTATAAGCACCAAACATTCATGACAACAGATCAACTAACAGTCATTTGATTTTGGCTACGCGAGTGATTCAAAGTGATTTGGTCTTGTTAATATCAACCTTGAATCGAAAAAGGCAACGAAAAAACGCGACTGCAAAATGAAGATCCTGGTGTTGATGATAGCTTTGAGCTGCTTGTTCTCTTTGGCCTTTCCGTCAAAAGGTATTAAAACTATTTGTTCACAAT